GGCCGCGCGCCGCACCACGACCACGGCCTCGGCCGACGCAGTCGAGCGCGCGCCGCATCTATGCGCAACATGGACGGACCGCCGCGACGGTTTACGGACCCGCGGCGACCTCCGGACGCGTCCAGCGCCGCCCGCTGCTCGACCGCTCCCGCAGGCGGTTTCCGAGGCCGTGTGCGTCGTCGCGCGCACGCCGTTTCCAGCGCTCAAAAGTGGCACGCGACCGCGCAGGGACTAGTAGACGCGGACGGAAGCGGCGCGGGGGTCACAGGCGGCCTCATACGGCCTGTGGCGCGGCGCGAAGGCCATATTGAGGCTAATCGTCCGAGAGGTTTGGGTGTGGGGCGAGCTGATGAGCGAGCTTAGCAGCGACGCGGCAACATTGGTGCAAGTAGGTCACTAGTTAGGCGCCTAAAAAATACCTCGCGTGTTACAGCTCCGTGATCACCTGCTTGTGCTCCGCGTTGATCGTCTCCGGCACGGCCAGGCGGGGCAGCTCCGCCACGACCAACCCCGCGTCGCGGAGCGCGTTCGCCGCGACGAAGAGCACGCGCTCCATGGGCGCGCCGCGCGCCTCGTCCTGGCCGCCGAAGACGCCGTCGAAGAGGCCGGCCTCGTTGCGGAAGCCGACGACCTCGCTCCGCAGCACGCCGTCGGCCATCTGCCAGGGCGACGGCGCCGACTGGACGACGAGCGCCGCCGCCGGGTCCACGGCTTCTAGCGCCGCGTCGAGCCCCTCCAGGAAGTAGCGCCCCGTGACCTTCACCACGCGCTCGCAGCCATCCAAAATGCCCGAGTCCAGCGCCCGCCGGATGGCCCGCGCCTCGGCGTGGCCCTTGCCCTTGGCCGCGTCGACGGTGCCGTCGACGAACCTGGGCAGGAAAAGGGTGCGAAATTCCCAACTTCGGAAGCTCATATCTCGGTCATTTTCCACTCGTTTCGGCTAATTTTTGGACGGGCGATGATCTCTCGGAGTGCTCGCGAAGCGTGGATGCTTTTCTGGACGCGCGCGCGCGGGAAACTCACGTTGAAGCGACGTTGAATCACCCGTTTCCCGCCCTGCGACGAACGACACGAACGTCGCGCCGCGGTGCGCGTCCCGGAGGCTCCCGAGGTGCGCGCCGCTGTTCTCCACGAGCACCACGGGCAACGACGTGCCGTTGGCCCAGCGCGCCAGCGCGCGCTCGTAGTCGCCGCGGCGCAGCGCGGGATCGCGCCGCGCCGTGTGCGTCATGTCTCTCGCGGGACACACCGTCGCCGTCAGCAGCAGGCACCAGGGCGCGCGCGGCGCGCCGCCGATAACTGTCGTGTCTTCTCCCTCGCAACTCTCGCAGTCGCCGCCGTCGCAGCCGAACTCGGCGCAGTCGAAGCGCGGCGCGAAGCCGTTGTCCGACACGAGCCCGCCCGCCTCGCAGCAGCCGCTGCCGCGCCAGTCGTCGCAGGTCGCGTAGCCGTAGTCCGCGAGCGCGCAGTCCTCGGCCGCGAGGCAGACGCCGGCGCAGTCCTCGACCTCGCCGACGCCGCAGCCGCCGCAGTAGCCGCAGTGTCTGTCGCAGGCGTGGGCGTACGGGCACGTGGGGCAGAACCAGGCGCCGCAGTCCAGCGCCGCGTCCGCGCAGGACGTCGCGACGCCGTCGACCCAGAGCGGCTCGTCCGCGCACGTCGACGCGGCTGCGACCGCGAGGCCCAGGAGGAGCAGCAGCGCTGCCTCCATCATGCTGCCCCCTTCAATAAAAAATTCAATTTCGCGATGGCGGGGCTGCTCGGCATCCTCGCGGTGCTCGCCTCCGCGCGAGCCCAGAAGGCCGTGCGGCTCATCAACCTCACGCTCGGCGAGGCGCACCGCGAGTGGGGCCAGTTCTTCGTCGAACGCATGCCCCGGCGCTGCGCGACCTACGACGAGGGCTCGACGCTCATGGCCATCGGCAGCGACCACTTCGTCTACGAGCTCACGACCTGCGACGACATCCTGCAGGCCGTCATCATGTTCTGCCACCACGACGGCGCCGGCGAGTACCCGGCGGGCCACCGCTGCGCGACGGCCTACTTCGCCGCGCTCCTCGACCAGGGGAAGCTCGGCGCCTCCGACGCGGAGCGCGCTAAGCGGACCGTCGCGGCCATGGAGGACACGGTGGAGTTCAATACCTTGGCGGCGACNGGCCGCCTGCGCTTCCGCGA